TCCGTCCAAACTGACGGAATATTCCGTCTTCGTCCCCAACGAGTCACCGGTCGCCGGAAAACTGGTTAAAACTTTAAACTCACTATGCTCACTCATTTCTTAACCATTTTTATGAAATTTGAACCAAATGAAAGCTTAGAGTGAGAAGAATGGCATTATACCTATTTGGAGCTTCAAATCTCACGAAATTCCGACCAAACCTGCAACTCTTCATTTCCCACGATCCCGACATCCAAATTCTTCAAATGAACTACCCCGATACTCATGAGAACCTCATTAAGCTTCCTATGAGCTTAGAATTCCCTGAAAATAACATATTTACGTGTGCATGAACAGTGCACAATTCGAGGGTTAGGTTTCACGGGGTTTTCGAAGGTTTCAGGTTCTAAAACTTGCACCAATGGACTCCTGAGGTCAAAAGGAACATGAAATTGCTTACCTTGGTTTCGATCTGCAAGGTTTGAGATGGTTCTTGGATTTCCCATACGAAAATGCCGAGAGGAAGAGAGAGAAAAGTCCACGGGAGAGAGAGAAAAGGTATGTGTGTGGTCCAAAAGCCACCAATCAAAAACCAATAATTCCCTTACTTCCAATTGGGTCCAAAAACTTAGGGAAAAATAACAAATGGGTCCAAATCCAACTTAAATCACACAATACACTTTAACGTCTAAGGGTAAAATTGTCATCGAAAATAATCTTTCGAGACGGGCTGTGACAGAGCTGGACTGTGTCTAGAAGGAACTTATATCTTTCAACTATAATGCTAACTCCTCAAACAATTTCAGTGAAAAAGTTCACCTAGAGGCTCAAATTAATGAAAGTCTTGCTCAAGTCCTTAAGGAGGAGGAAGTGATGTGGGCGCAAAAAACAAAATCTAATTGGTTAAAGCATGGTGATAAAAATACAAGATTTTTCCAACTTTGTGCTACAATTAGAAGAAAGCAAAACAAAATTAATAAAATCAAAGATGGCAATGGTATTTGGTGGTAGAGGTAAGGGCTTGGAGCAAGTTTTTGTGCAGGAATTCAAAACGAGATTCACCAATCGATCCAACCCCCCTCCTCACTGCTGAGCACACCAACTTGATCTCTCATGTAATAAAACCATGCATTTCGAATGATCATAATACCATGTTAACTGAGGCTCCTTCAAGTGACGAGATTTGGAATGCTATTAAAAGCATGGAGGCTCTTAAAGCCCCAAGGCCGGATGGTATCCATGCGAGTTTCTTCTAAGAATGCTGGGAGGAGGTAGGGCCTTCAATGTGCAATGTGGTGAAAGACTTTTTTGTAATTAACACAAGCCTAAAGTTAATCAACCATACCAACATTGCCCTAATCCCAAAAGTGGAGAATCTGGAAACAATCAATAATTATCGCCCAATCAACCTCTATAATGTTAGCTACAAGATTATAACGAAAGTAATGATCATTAGGTTAAGGCCCCTTTTGCAGGAGTGTCTTTCGCCCAACCAATGAGCCTTTGCTTCAGGTAGGTCAATACAGGATAATATCCTTATTGCTCATGAATTGTTCTCAACTTTTAACAGGAAGAAAGGTAGAACTAGGTAGCTAGCTATCAAGCTAGATTTAGAGAAAGCGTATGATCTCTTAAACTAGGACTATATTAAATGTGTATTGGAAAGGTTTGGGTTTTGTACTAAGTGGATTAACCTAGTTATGGAATGTATATCTTCAACTTCTTTTTCCATTAACATTAATGGTAAGTCTCATGGATATTTCAGTGCAAGTAGAGGTATTAGGCAAGGGGACCCATTATCCCCCTATATTTTCATCCTTTGCATGGAACCCTTGATTAGGAAGTTGAATGAGTTAGCGTATACCCCAAAATCCCATATTGGCCTACTCACTTCCCCGTTTGGCTACAAAGTTTCTAATCTTGTTTTTGCAGATGACTGCCTTATCTTTGCCAAAGCATCTCCAAGGGGTGCCATGAAGGTTTTAGAAGTTCTAAATTGTTTTGCAAGTGCTTCGGGTCAACAAATAAACTTCAACAAGTCTTCTTTATACTTTCCCTCTAATACAACTAACCAGTTACGAAGTGAAATTGTTAACATTCTTCATATTCAACATAAGATCACCATTGGAAAATATCTCGGTATACACAACATTGTGTTTTGGAATGACCATTTAAATGGGAACGAGCTAATTAGGAGATTCAAACAAAAACTTGCTGGTTGGAAGGCCAACACCCTTTCAAAGGATGGTAAATCGCCAAAATGGTCCATAAGATTTGCATAACTCATCACTTTGATCCCTGAGATTCCAAATCGATAAAAGTGGTCATTGAGATTGTCCACCATCCATCATTTTGGTCATTATGTTAAAAACTCCGTTAAGTGTCCCGGAGCTCTTAGCCGGAAGTTTGGGCAATTTTCAAAGCTTCATAACTCAATTGTTTCTTAACCAAATTCGACCCATAATTTATCAAAATGAAGATAGAAAAGTGTAGAATAAGATTATACCTATTTCAAAGCTGAATGGTTGCTAGAGATGGCAGGAAAATAACCTCAAAGTTGACTGGTCCGAGTGAAAACTAGGGGTGGGCAAACGGGTCCTGGACCCGCGGGTCGGGGCGGGTACGGGGCGGGTCCAAAAATAAGAAGGAACGGGCCCCCGGCCCGGCCCGTTTGTAGCATGCAATAATGGATTGGAATTGGATTAGAGTGATGTTGTGGCCCACTGGCCCTTGACTTACAAGGTCACCCACCAAATTGGACCAAATTTGGGAGGCCTTCAAGGTCTCTGTAACCAATACGTGTCAGAGCATTTTTATATGGTTTAATTGAATCCAACTCTCCAACTTTTTTATCCCCTCATCTGATCTCCAGAGACTTTCATGATTTCATCAACCTCCATTTTCCATTCATTCACACTTGAGCTTGTGTCGAGTTCTCGACAACAGTCCGACTTCGCCGATTTCGCGGCATTCTTGACTCGATCTACTACCTCGTCGCCACGATCCAGGACTGGGATAGACTCTCATGGCCGCCGACTAGTCCGTCTGCGTTGCGCATGTGGGTTTCTTACGGAGCAGGCCACTATTCCTCTCCCTAACTCGTCTTCTCCTCTCTCCTTGACTCGTTTTTTCTGGGTTTTTTTATGGTTCTGATTTTGTGTTGGTTGGGTTTATTTTTTATGGTTCTGATTTGTCGCCTTCTCCTCTCTCCCAGATGACGAAGGAAGAGGGCTTGAACGGTATGAGCTGCATCTGGGTTGTCGCGGAGGAAACGGGGTTCGACGACTGAGGAAGACGACTTGAACCACGTCGTCCCTTTCTGTGTTGACGAAAAAAATTATGTAATAGGAACTGTGTACCTGCCCCGAACCGGCCCGTTTGAAACGGGCCGGGTTAGGTCCGGTTCTAAAACTCTAAAGCACTCTACCCGGCCCGGCCCGCCTCGTTACATTTTAAAACAGGTAGGTCCGGTTCCTTCAAATTTGAGCCCGGCCCGACCCGTGCCCAGCCCTAGTGAAAACTTGAAAACTCGCCGGAAACTAGGTAAACTTTAAACGTTCATAACTTCTTCAATACTCAACGAAATCAAGTGATTCAAAAACGAAAATCATACATCTCGATGAGAGAAAGAGAATGGTACCCTTTTTTATGGCTAACTAGTCGTAGTTTGGCCGGAAAACGGCTTGAAAGTGGCTAACTCGAGACTAAGATAGCCACTTTCGAGCTGTGTTCCGGACAAATCATAGTGCGTTAGCCATAAAAAAGGTACCATTCTCTTTCTCTCGTCGAGATGTATGATTTTCGTTTTTGAATCACTTGATTTCGTTGAGTATTGAAGAAGTTATGAACGTTTAAAGTTTACCCAATTTCCAACGAGTTTTCAAGTTTTCACTCGGACCAGTCAACTTTGAGGCTATTTTCCGGCCATCTCCGGCACCATTGGGCTTCAAAATAGGTATAATCATATTCTACACTTTCTTATCTTCATTTTGATATATTATGGGTCGAATTTGGTTAAGAAACGATTGAGTTACGAAGCTTTGAAAATTGCCCAAACTTCCGACCAAGAGCTCTGGGACACTTAATGGAGTTTTTACTAGAAGGATTAAAATGATGGATGATGGAAAATCTCAGAGACCACTTTTATCGATTTGGAATCTCAGGGACCAAAGTGATGAGTTATGCAAATCTCAGAGACCATTTTGGCGATTTACCCTTCAAAGGCAAGAAGACTCACTCTTGTCCAATCAAACCTTTCAGGTATGCCTAATCATATTATTTCTTGTTTTAAATGCCCTTTAAGTTAATAAGCAAATTAAACAGGGATTGTAGACAGTTTTTATGGGGCAATAGTCATAAATGTAATCCTGCGAGTTGGAAGGAAATTTGTAGACCAAAGAGTGCGGGTGGCTTAGGTATCAGGAACCTAGACCATTTGAATAAGGCTTGTCTTGCTAAACTAGGTTGGAAAGTGCTTTTTGATAAGGATAATTGTTGGGCTAATATAGCCAGAAGAAAATACCTTAGATACATATGATGGGTTTCTAGACACCAAAACTAAGCAAAACCACTCGCTTGCCTAAAATCCTGGGGTCCCGAGACATTATCAGTAGGGGTATGAGGTGGGTGATGGCAAGGACATCATGTTCTGGACTTTCTGGACTCACAACTGGGTTTTTCCTCACCCTCTCTTTCATCTCATCCCAGAAAATCAAGGACATGAAATTCAATAGGGAGATCAAGGTTGCTGATTTTATTGTTGACAGGCACTGGGATAAGAATAGGTTAAATCAAGTAATAGACACCTATACAGCAAATAAAATCTGTAATATTCCTATTCCTATTCATTCTTCCAAGGATGCAGTTGTCTAGGGGCCTAGTAATAATAGTAAGTTCACGGTAAAATCTGCAACTTGGTTTCAAATGGAGGATCTTGGCCATTCCCCATCTCAAAACCTTATAAATAGAGTGTGGAAGCAAGTCTTGCCTCCCAAACTAAAGTTATTTGCGTAGAGTCTCATCAAAGGTAAACTTCAAACTAGAAAGAAGCTAAGCAGGTTCATTCCCAATATAAATACTCAGTTCCCCATGTGCAACAACCAAGAGGAAGATATTGATCATCTGTTCCTCCACTGCCAGTATGCTAAGTAGGTTTGGAGTTGTGCCACTGATATGTCTTTATCAAATTTTGATATCAACCTCAAGATAAGTGATTGGTTTGTGAACCTCTCTCACAAAAATTCGAATGCTGTAAGCAATTTTAGCAAAGCTATTTCTATTTGCTGGCAGATTTGGAATGGTAGAAATGGATGCATTTTCAGGAAAGAAAGGCATATCCATACCAGAGCTTTTATCCGGGCTATGTCTATGGTTAATGAGTATTTCAAGGATAATGTGAAGAGCTGGGAAAATACGCTGGTAACAAGTGATGATAAAGTGATCAAATGGAATTGTCCATCGTACCCATATGTTAAAATAAATTTCGACGGTTCGGTGTCAAACTCCTTGGCGGCGGGAGGTTTCATTATCAGGAACTGGAGCGGTAAACCTATTCTCGCTGGTGCTATGAGTTTGGGGTCTTCTACCATCAATGTTGCTGAGGCCATGGCGCTGTGTGAGGCACTAATCTGGGCTAGGAGGAGAAACTTGACGCATGTGTGTGCGGAGGGTGACTCAAAACTTATCATTGATGTTGTTCGTGGTGCTTGCGAAACACCGTGGAACTTGAGGTCTATCATTGAAGATATCAGGTAGTGTGCCTCTTTCTTCCAGGATATCAAGTGGGGGCATGTTTTCAGGAAGGCGAATTTTGTTGCAGATGTTATGGCATCTATTGGGCTGAAAATGGATAATCTTTGTATATGGGATCCTTGTCTTCCTGTCGAAGCAAACTTAGCCCTGTTATTTGATTGTAATGGCTCCGGCTGTGTGAGGGGCTTCTCTCTTTAATGAAGTTTTATTTTTCCATAAAAAGAATAATTAAAAAAAAGAGTTAAGTTCTGCTGTGACTAGTTTTATGGACAAGTAATTTACCCAGATTCAAAAACATTGTGTTTCATCTGAGAAATGTTACTCCAAATGCACCCGTTTTGTCATTCAAGATCGTGCACAGTTTCGTTGTTTTGCTATAAGCGGGTTCTTGAATTTGTTGAGGCACATTATTAGTGAAATATAAATTGAGAATGTCTTGTGTTACAATTTACAAACTACAGGTTTTCACACATTTTGCTGATGCATTTCCTTAGTTGACACGACAAACTTTTTTCCGGGAGATTATTGTGCCTGTATAGTGAACAAGAACTCTCAAGTTTGTTAATAAAGATGAAACAAATCGTAGGCGAAACTGAAGAACAAGAATCTACACATCAACAACTAATTTTTGTGACTTGTGAACTGGGAACATGCATCAGTAAGAAACAATGTAAAAAGAAAACAAATTATAAGACGCATTCAATGTTTTCGCACTTCTGGATTTTTGTCTGCGCCTTATATTACGTCTAAGAATCATACAAGCTAGGGAAGACGCCGTTCTCTACATTTACAGGTTCAATCCACCGCAGTGACAACAAGAATAACAGAAAATATGTAAGTAAGCATAAATCCTCATCAACATAATAATTCGGTCAGTTTTGGTTTGAAAAAGGAAGTTGATCACTAGGAGCTTCCAAACCCAAGAAACTGGTCTACTAGTTTTGCTACAGACTTTGCCAAGCTGTCTGCTGCATTCTGTGTGGATGCCTCTGCATATACGCGTATAACATCTTCTGTTCCTGATGGTCGTATAAAACATCGGCCTCTAGGGTATTTAACCGCAATCAACAGGGAAAATCCTCAAAAATTTGTTTGTAAATTGTATATACCAGTAAAATTAGGAAAAATGGCAAATTTTCCTGTGCAACAAACAAATACTGCTAATCAACTTAACGGTGCAGACCAATAATCAACACGGATATCGTGCAGAGCAAAGGACTGAACTGTATGAAAAATGAAAGGAGAAATCTACTTACCGGTTTCAGCGTCAATGGCTTCTTGAATGCCAGGGGGTGTCACAGCAGCCACAGTTTCTGCATTTTCTGTAACAACAGCAGTTCTGTCCATAACCTTGACCTGATAATTGTGAAGCAGAAGAATTAGTTTCTAGGCACGTTGCGTCCAACAAGAATATGGAGGAAACTCAATTAATTTTTAAAACAGATAACAAGAAAGCCCGAAAAGAAAACAACCATAAAGACAATAAACTGACCATAAGATAGACAGATGACCAAGGAAACTTGCCTTAAGCTGCCTACTGGGTAGATCCTGATAAAGCTCATTCCACCTCTGTATCGACCACCCCATATGTTTCAGAATGACCTCAACCAAGAGTACCCCACTCAACGCGTCCCCAACAGCCTGGTTAATTAATTCACTAACAGCCAAGATTCTCAAAGCTGCCTTATGCTGTTCTGAACCTGAAAAGAAACAATCATGTTCTTCATTTAGATAGGTAACGGACGATCATGTCAGCACTAATGTAGTGGATAAAGACTGCTTTAACCTTTAAATGCATCAGCAAGCTCAGTAGTCCTGGTCTCTAACCAGCGTAAGTAATGTTCTGAGAACAAGATGGTGCCATGACCATTTGCTTCAAAGTAAATCCCAATATCATACTTGGCAGCTTTCTCATGAAGGTATTTCACTCCTGTAGGAGTAAAAGTGACTTCTAGGCCTAACTGTTTGAGATAATCCATGGATGCTCCGTTTGGATAAGCTGTTTGCACAATACCAAGGCGACATTGATAATCATTATTTCCATTAACATCTATTTCCTTACTCAAAATGCTTAGTTGCTCCTTGATGAATATAGCAAACAAAGATAAAATCTTGTCCCCATCGACGAGTTCAATCTTATTACTACTTCTAGATGGCACAATAAAATATACAAGCCGATCAGCATCACCATCCAAACTAGCACACCTGAAAAGCTAGAACCATCCATACAGTTAGTCCCTGCCTTTGACATCTAATGTAACACTTTAGATCAGTAGTTGAGCATTACTAATTGACCAAATAGAAAATTTAAGTAGTTTGAAACCCCGAAACAATGGTTGGATATTGCACACTGGCATCCTTTGGTACCAAACTAGTATTGGGGTAAAAACATATTTAAAATAAAACCAAACTTGTATCGTAGCCAACAAATGTTTGCATCAATGAAAAGATACATCCATTGTAAGCAATCCAACAAGTTGTTAAATCGGATCAAAATTCAAGTTTTCCAATAGTAGTATGCTAGTACGACAAACTTTAGTAATGTTTTCCAATGTGTTGCAATAAAGCATACGATAATAATAACAAATCAACAAGCCACCAAAATTCAGGGTTTCTCCCATCTATCTCATAATCTCATTAACGTAGTATATGTACTTGCATCCATATGTACACAACAGAATTTGTCAGGATAATGCAATCATCAGTCATTCTCCAGCAATATCTCTATGATGCAGGCATTTCAAGCAAGTTACTTTAAGTAACTGATAATCAAAATTCATTTCACAATCCACATATAACTGACCTAATCCCAACATCCTGTGAACCAAAACTACAAGGAACGACCTTTTCTTTCTGCACATGATCAGCACCAACTCCTTCATTCAGTACACCCAGCTCCTTCTTTTCCGGAGTTCCGAATCTCAATAACCAAACCAGTCAACATCGTCTTCAAAAGTTCCCAGTTTTTCTCCACCAACACCATTTGCCCCATCCACAACCAACTTGTCATCCACATCACTGGGATGAGTTCCACTAGTAATCAAATCTACCAAGCACCTAACCAGCCACACAAAACACTTAATGAAGGCATTCAAACAACAATGAATTTTTTTAAAGATCAAACTAACTCATTACACAAAACTCTAGCTCCAACTAACCTAAATGAGCTTGAAAGCTGCTTGAAGTAATCGTTGTCTGATACTTTCAAACCCTTATTTCTAGCACGAACCATCCAGTGTAGTTGTGGAGTAGTTAAAATTCCCAAGTCATGGGCAACCGCTCCAATAATTGAACTGATTCCCTTTAAAGGAACAAATGCTAAGAAATGAGGAGCGTAAAACGATTTAGAAACTGCATGGTAAGCAATGGTAAAAGAGAAGATACCTGTTTAGCAGCCTCAACCAGAGATTCTCCACTGGATCTTGTATCTCTTGCCAACAATATCTCCACGGATTTTGCTCCATCGACTGCGATTTTTTCATTTTCAACAAATTCAGCTATCAACTGTTCAAGAGTTCAATCAGCCTTGTACACAAATTCACAAGAAGAAAAGAAAGGAGTGAGCACGCGCACACACACAGAAAGGCTATATAGAAAAAGAAAAACAGACATGAACAAGCTGTTGGGGATCACGAGCATTGGTGAGGGTATCAGCGAATGGCTCCCAGTCTTGAGAAAGCATTCCACCACTCGGGTCAGCAACTTTGACTCCATTATCAGAGACTTTGTTGTGAGATGCTGTGATCATCAGGCCGATCACTGATTGGATCTTGAGGGCCCTTGGAGCAGCCAAAATTCCCACCCTGTAAAGTGTGGATTGGAGGATTGAGGCATCAGCTCTGAAGCCAGCCGTTCCATACGATAGTTTCACACCTGGTGTCAACTTCTCAAAATTAACAAACCAGAAACCGAATTCCGTTGAGAGGAAAGGGAAAATGCGAGAGGGAGAGAAATGTGGACCTTGTGGAGGCGGGAAGCGAGATGAGGAGCTGAGGAGGAGTGAACGTTGGTCTTTATTCATGGTTTGTTAATCCCGATTGAAACTAACATCAAAGAGTTTGAGTTTCAGGCATATAACTAGCAATAGTGCCCGCGCGTTTGCTGCGGGTCTTAAAACTACTGGACATAAAAGAAGAAAACAGCCAGTGCAAACTTGTAATGGATAGTTTGTAATTAATAGGTTTTTAGTATGTTCATGCTATTTAAACACAGAAAATATAATAAGAAAAAGAAGTTGAGTGTTGGCAAAAAGTGATGTAATTTGTGGCATACCTGTAGTTAGACCTGTGTAATCGATTTAGTTGTGAACACTGGTAACATGTATAACTCAGAGAACAAAAAATAGCAGAAACTGAATAAGAAAATGATGTGCATAGAGAATATACTGCAGTAACTATAAATTAAGGTTAGAAGTGTTTTAATTTTGATATAAATTTGTGGTCAAGAATTATGCATAAGAGGATAACTGCTTTTATGAGTGAGCATATAATAAGTCAAAACGATTATTAATAATTAACGAAATGTTTGAAGTAAAAAAAAATATACATTTGATGTTGAAATTCGATATCATAATGTAACTGTAACTTATTAGAAGGGTTTAAATTGGCATTAACTGGTCTGTAACAGTTTGTCCAATTATATTGAATATCATTAGACCATGTTGTGATACGATGTTACTGGAAAACGAAGAAAAAATTATATAAGCTATTAGAAACAATATACAATTGTAAATGTAAAGTTGTGTAATTTGATTCTTAATAAGCATGCATATATACCGTTTGGATATGAAGAATTAAAAAGCATATAGAGCTGTGCACTTAGTTGAGGTAAGAGTTTAGATGATGGGAATCCATGCTGATAATTTGTTGAGGAAAACAAAACTTTAGTTTGATGTTCAAGCAGATGGGAACAGACAGAAAGAACAAAAGGTAAAATACATAATAAAAAGAAGATGATGTCCAAAGATTGGAAAAGCAGGTTAAGAAGTAAATTTATGTTTATACCGACTAAAATGATTGTCAAATTTGCAGCAAGCTATCTTTGAATGAATAAAAAATAGGGTAAAAATTGTAGGCAAATTTGATCAGGTGAACTGGAGAAAATTGAAAACCAGGATTAAAAATGCATCACAAATGAGAATATGGTGTAAAATGATATGTAAGCCAGTTTTGTACTGATTCTAATGTAAATATGGGAAAACAGATGTTCAAAGATGG